CACTTCTCATGTGTAAAATCTGAGATAATGCTTCCCTGTCTTATGGGGGTGTGGGGGGAGAAAAAAGGCAGTGAGAAACCAAGAAAACAATAATTCTGAATTAAACTGTTGTGGACAATATTTGTTCCTGGCCAGAATAAGAATTCTGGGCATCTTTTCCTGCTTTTAAAGCTAGTGTTTTATTTCTAAATTCCACTGCTAAAATCTCTCATCTGTTCCCCTACCACTGGTACAATAATACAGCCTTGCTCAGGAAACTATAAACTGAAGCCAGCCAAAATGGTTTGTGGAGCAGAGCAAAATTCTATAGTCTTTGCTTCTGGTCTACCACTCCCAATTTTTTTACTGCTTATGAGTTCCATCAAGGCCAATGATATTTTAGAAAGATGAACTTAGTATGTTTTGCAGTTGACCAGTGTGTAATAACTTGCCATCTACTTCCCTGGCAGCGCCAATGATACTGTCTGTACTAACAATATAGTATAGCTGTTTCATGTAGGTAACCCCCATTTATGCTAAATGTTTAGTGATACATTAAGTATTCTTACATTTTCAAGGTTAGAATTTTGGAAATATTCTATGAATTTCATTTATGAATAAGACACTAACTGAACATAGGTGAATTTTAATCTTGCCAGTACCTTATCTTGAATTGTTTTTTTAGCCAAGATCATGTTACAGAAGGTTCCGATTCACCTACTTATCCCTAGATACATTCATAAAATCTAGCAACGTTTTTAAAAGGAAGCTCTCTTTTATTTCTTTTCAATTAACTTTTTAGAAATCTTCTAAATTTTCAGAACTCTGACTGTAGTTTATTTTCTTATCTTGGACTTCAGGAGGGATGGCCGTGCTACATTATTCAAACACACAAGCAAGGTAGACATTCAAAAAGCCTAAGGCTGATTCGATCTAAGTTATGCTGTTTTCTGTAAGTGGCATAGTTTAGATCAGTAGTGAACAGAACACATATTCACCCTTTGGTGGCAGGGAAGGACAAATTCTAGATCAGGTTCTGCCATTTTTAAACCAGTCTATGGATGCCAAACTTCTGTTCTGTTATGGATATAGACTGATTTTGGATGCCGAGCTTCTGTTCCGTTATGGGTATAAACCAGTTTTGTGGGCTGAATTTATGTTCTGTTGTGGGTATAGACCAGTTTCTGATCACTTACACTAGTAAAGGTGGAATGTCTGTACCTGGCCACACATAGCCCACATGCACACACAGCCCACACACTGCATAGGGTCTAACAATCAAAACTTGGTGAAAAACAACGTGATGATAGTCAACTACTAATTTTGAAGAAATGAAATCATTTTAAAAACAAATGCTGTACCCATTTCTAAGTTTTCTGCACATGGCTTTCTGTTCTGGGAGATACCACTTGGAAGGGTAAATTAAAGTATCATTCATTCATACCTCTTGTACCATCAGTGCAATAGAACTTGAAATAAGTTCTGCAACTAGCTTCCTCTTTTCAGTGATTGTCCTGACTTGCTGTATAGTACTATTCTGCCAAATAAAAATCTATCAAAGTAGATTCTTTCAAATTCTGATTTTTTTTCATTGCATTGTGATTGAGGTCTTCAAAGAAGTCTCTCTTCCCCTCTCCCTGGATTCTGTTCTGAATTTATTGTAAAAAATATCAACAAGATTTGTAAATGTTCCCTTGTTTTAAACCTTGACAATTTTTATTGTAGGGCAACTTTCGCTTACATTTGTCAGACCAAAACCCATAGTTTATTTTAAGAACCTCTATCTTCCAAATACAGTCAGCAGAAACATTTCAACTATGCTGATTTAGCTGCATTCATAGAAAACAAAATGAAATAAACTAGAACGCCTGTAATGAAAAGACATTTCACTTTTTTAAAGAAAAAAGGAAGGCAGCTTTTAAGCCTAAAAAAAAAGACTTGCTATGTATGCATGCTGGATATGATCTATTCTGTGGTTTGCAGAGAGTCAGACAATTAATCAAAGTATCCTAGCCTTGTTTTCAGTTTTAGTTCCCATCTGTATTCCATCAGAGATAAGAAAGTTTGATAATCAGCTTGGTAAAGAAAGGTGTATTCAAATTATAAGCACATGAAATGTAAGATACATTAAGATAATTGTCCATGCAGATGTTGCTGTACACAAAGGCACAAGTTGTCTTATGCAAGCTGTTTTAAGAATGAACAGCAGTTATAAGGACTGGAGTTAGTAGTAGCACTCTGCTTTTCTCCTTCTAGCAACAATACCAGTTACAGGCTGCAAGCCGAGACCTACCTGCTCCTCCATTTTTTACTGTCAGTTAATCTTCTTTTCCTGAAGTTCTGAATTTAACAAAAGTTGATAGTTCCTCCAAGTTGGGTGCTTTGTTGCCTGGCTTGTGCTGTTTTTCTCAAGATCAACTGAACTGTAGTCAGTGATTCAGGAAGCTGTGCTGTCCAGCCCTCTGATCACTCCCACTCTCCAGGGTGTGTGCTTACTTGTCTCTCTCAGTCAGACTAAAAACCAGCCAAGCTCATTTAAGTCTAACAGGTTTCCTTATATAGGTAAACACGAATTGCATTCCTGGTGAAAGAGTCTAACTGGGAATAGGTTTAACTTAGTTAACTCCACAAACACCAGTTTCAGTGTAGTGAGTTTGTGAGCAAAGTCCTATAAAGCATAAGACAGATGAATTTAAATCATAGCAAAACATCTATTCATTTAAACTTGAATTTATTAGACTTACAATAGTGCCAATTGGCAGGAATGGAGCAACAGTGTCACAGCAACCTATTCATACTATATTACTGATGGGAGAAACAAAGTACACAGATGGAACTTGTTTAAGCATATACACACAACATACAGCAGTACTAAAATAACTCCAACATTAATGATTAAGAAAAACAAACAAGCAAACAAACAAAATTAACATAATCTGAACCTTTAACGAAAGGTTAAAACCCTTAGACTAAGATATTGGTATCGACATTAGCTAGACAATATTGGAATAAAGCTCATTGTAACTTTTTGCCAATTCCTGTGTTTGTATTTTATATATTTAATCTTTTCTAGGACAGAGCTCTGTCTTTTAGGTCTATGAAGAAGCTCTCATATCTTGGGATGCTTTGCAAACATATCTATTTTTATACCCAGCACAAAGAGAAGGGGCATGCCGAGAGGATGCATGCCCATATGGGAGATAGTATTTATGTGCTGAACTGTGACATCTGAGTTTTTTGTGCATCACTGGCTCCTCTTACACTCTGCCCACTAATCCATTTCTGCCATGAGTATTTCTAACATTTGAAACTTCTGAGCAGCTTCAACAGGCAGTCAATTTATTACAAAAGCACAAAACTTCAATGTTGTATAGCCTTATTCTATTCAGAACTGGACCCATCTCTTCCTTAAACACTTATCTAAATATTTGACACCAGGATGTGATGGAGGCAGAGAGAAAATAAAAAGATAAAAGGAAGAAAGAAATAAAAAAAGGGAGAAAAAGAAGAAATGGGTGAAAACTAGAAAAAGGGGAGACATGCTGGGAAGGGAGAGGCACTGACTGTGCAGTACACCACTATGAGAAGTCACAACATTTTATTCTGTCAACCCCAAGTTACACAGGTTTACAGTCAGAACAAATGGTATTCAGTTTGGTATAAGAAATGGGTTCTTCATCTGGTAAATTCTAAGGTTAGAAATGTAAGTTATCACCAGAAAGCTAGGCATCTCACTTTCCCATAGACTATGCATTTTTTCTTGTCTTCCCAAGTGATTATGAAAATAGGGCTTTAAAATCACTGTGTTATTGTGTTCTGTTCAGAATAGCTACATTTAGTCATTTTAATGGTTTTAGTATTTTGTTAGTTGTAATTTTCCTCTTCCTCTAAATAATGAACATTTGTCCTTAAAATACTACAGGGACATGGCTTCATATGAGTAGAAATATGAAAAACAATACGAGTAAAAATTGTGAAAAACTCTATAAACATATCTAAACTAGTTTCTCTGTAAAGTATGTGGCAAATGCAAAATACATGCCCATGGGGTGTGGTATAATAGTCTTTATGGGACTTATGTGGGATGACTTGTATAACTCACTTGTGGCTTTACTACTTAAGAGTAAGTTCACCGTGCCAAACACATGATATGATAAAACATTTGGATTCCATTACACCACCATGCATTCTCTCACTGTTAGTAAGACGTGACAAATCCCTGAACAGAAATCAATTTTAAACTTAAAACAAGCCAATTCAAATCAATTCATTTCTAAAAAAATATGCGGATGATAAAAGTCTGAGATGACTAATACAGTGAGATAACAGCTGTTTTCGTATGGTGTGACTTTGTCTTTTTATGGTAAGTACTCTTCTTCCACAAAATCCAAAGCCCAACACCCAACCCCTCTCCCCACCCAAAGCCACTGTTGCCTATTACTTGAAATCCTCTTTCCATCCCAGAGTCTTTACACATACACCTCATTTCCATGCTTTCTCAGTATTAGTTACTTTTAAATCCCAAGATTTCAGGTTTGTCATAGTAATCTGTACTAGAATGATCAGAGTCTAAAAGCTTTTTCAAGTGTGAAATATACTATTCTCTTTACTTAAAACAGACCTAATAGTGGAACTAGCAATTTTTCTCAAGCCATAGCAAATTCATTTTTACTGTATCCATACACTAAATAGCTAAAATAAACAGTTTTAGATATTTATTACAAAGCTTCTTTTTAATTTCTTAGAGTAATTTACACTACTACTTTTAAAGTCTCCTGAAAGGTAATCTGATTAATTTATGCATTTGAAAAGTAATCTGAATTTACTGTCTTAATTTACTCGCCTATCATTATGTATTGTCTGCAGATGATTATAGAAAGATACCAATTACATTGAAACGAACGTTGTTTATTAATAAGCTGCATAACAGGTCTTTTAAGCCCACAAACAGAAGGCTATTTTATGTGGGAAATTCTCCCCATAGTCATATAAATATTTTATTTTAAAGTTTGGGAATTGGAAGTTTGGTCTGAAAACCAGCTGGGATTAATGAAAGAACAATAATACTGCTTTTCCTGGGGTACAGTGCTTTGGTTTCTCAACACAAAAAGCTTAGCATTTAATTAGCCTGTGCAATGTTTGTTTGATATGCTGCTACTCTGTTTTCTGTAGAGCCATTCAGCTGAGACAACCGTGCTACTCATCTTCTAGCTAGCCTCTATTTGCAGTTAGAATGAACTTTGTTTACTGTGGTAAGGATAGCCTTGGAGCAGGATCTCAAAGGTCAGTAAGTAATCCGTTGAATCACTCTGCCTCTCCTTGATTGTCAATTAAGTAAATGTGTTCACTCCAATACAGATAAATTATTCACTATTTTCTCTTGTATGAGAAATTCACTTTCATTCCCCCACTTTAACCTGTTTATAAAATATGCTAACTTTTCTTTGGTTCAGTGATTGCTCTCAGGGCCCCTCTAGACATTCAGGTAAAGGCATGATAGCAGCCAATGCTGCACCATCCACATAGTTGTGTCTCCTGCCATACCATACATGTATGGCAGGAGGCGTGATTGTGGGATCAAGCATCAGATACTATCCTGCCTTATTGCTAGTAGAGGCAGAGCCCAAGATCACTATCCTGGGCTCTTTCTGCACCAGGAAGTAGCAGACACCAAAAGCTGCGAGTCCTGTAGCTGACAGGAGAGTCCTACAGTTGAGAGTCCCATAGCTCAGCAAGAGTCCTACAGCTCTCAGTCCTGGCAGCTGTAGTGTACTGCCAGGACGAAGAGTCCCCCAACTGTGGGGTGTTGCTGGGATTGAGAGTCCTGTCAGCTGCAGGACATCCAGCCCTCACTGAGCATGGTATACCCCTGAGGCTAGAAGCCCCATCAGCCCCATCCCTGGCTCCCAGCCACAGGGGGAGACCCTGCTACACATGCAAATTAAAGCTGGATAGCAACCAGCTATAAAGTTATTGCACATTTTCCAGCTCTAAAAAGTTAGATGAATTATTCACTATTTTCTCTTGTATGAGAGATTCACTTTCATTCCCTCACTTTAACCTGGCTGGACCTTTTTATGGCATGATAGTTACTATGTACGTATAGCTGGTCTAAGTTAATTGCACAATTAACCAGTTAATTGAGTAATGCATGTAATGTGTAGAGGGGGCCTCAGAAAGAGAAATCTAGTAAAACTTGCTATTTTTCCCATGTTCAATGCTGAAGTTGAAGATGACAATTTAAGAATAAATGCCTTTTGCCAGGACTGAATTGCCAGCTTGCAACCTTTTTTAAAAATCGTAAAGTGCCTTTGCTATTCAAATAACTAGCTTAATCCTCCCACTTAAAAATCACAAGTAGGAATACAGATTTTGTCTGTTATTAATGAACTCTGTATTTGATTGACCACAAAGGTGCTATATCTATAGCTTTAGTGCATATTTAATATTAGGTTACAAATAATATTCAACCTCCGATCTTCTCTAGCTCATAACTTTTAGAAACATTTCCTCCTTAGATTTAAACTGTCCACACTTCAACAATATAAAAAAAATGGCTAAACTTGGCCCCTTCAGTTTAAACCTGAAGAGACCTACAAAAATCAGTTGTACACTATTATACAACCGTTTTAATATGCTAGCTGCTCTTGCAGTCTTGCAAACCTGATTCCTTTGAAGTCAATGGCAAAATTCCAGTTAGCTTCCTTGGGGGCAGGATTTCAACCTTGGTCTTGGGATCTACAACTTTTAATCATCAGCCTATCAGTAGCTGTGCCTGAACAGGTTCTGAGGACTGGTCCTCTCTGTTATGCCAACAATTCAACACATTGTAGGTTTTTTCAGTACAGCAGTCAGTCCTGAAGACAAGTATAAAGCTCTCCACGAATAGCAACAATAAGCATTTCTCAAACAAAAAAAACCTTGAAGAAATCAAAGCAGATCAGTAACATATATTACTTGTGAAATGCCAAAGGAAAAAAAAGCTATATAGAAAACTCCAGAGGTTAAGCCTGTAAATGCACTGCATGATTCCGTTAAAAAAAATAAAAAAGAAAGAAAATAACCTAACAGAACTAATAGAAATACTGGATATATTAAAAAAATCTAAAAGTCTACCATATTCCAACTTCAATTTGACATGTAAGTCACAATAAAGATATGCACCTTCCTCTTCTTTTAGAAAGGAATTTTGGGTAGATTAAGTTTGAGCTTCCATCTCTTTTGATTCAATAAATATTTATACGTTCTCATTATTGCTATATCCATGGAACACATTATTTCTAAGTGGTTAGTGAACTAGGCCCATTAATTATCCATGCACTGGAAGTGCTAGTTCTCCATCTTAAAGACGACAAAAGAAAATCAATATTAAAACCCTGAATTTGGAATACTGCATATGTGCAACATTCAGTTTCTCCTTTCAGAAAAACAGAAAGGAGAAAGTAAAGTTTTCAGAAAGTAAAGGTTTCAGTAGGCAGTAGCTTATTCATGTTGCACATTGTTTGAGCAGTATGCTAAAATACTGCTTGAATTTTTAAACATGTACCTTACCTGTAGGGCATGAGCTCTATGGATCAGGTAAGTTTATAACACAAAACTTCAGTTTTTCTTAAGGCCTGATTTTTGGTGTTTAATTTTATAGCCTTAACATAGATCCTTGCATTTAATATAGCATTACTTATAAAATTGTACCATACTACTTAGTCTCTACAGGGGAACAATGAAGTCAAAATAAATTAAGAGCCAGTGTCTGAGGTTATTATTTTTTCCCTTGGAAAAAGAACTATGTAAGTTTTTGCCCACATCTTTCTCAATGCATTTAATTAAAAACTTTGGATAGAACAAATTACCGAACACCCTCACTATTCGTGGGTTCGGTATTC